ATTATGGATGTTGTTGAAGAATTTTTCATAGAAGATGATTTAGACATATTGGATATAGTAGAGTTTGGTTTCCCACGTAAAGTTTATACTAGGAAAAATCATTTCGAGGAGATGGATAACTTAACATTCTTTAAGCGCTTTCGTTTAACGAAAGATACAGTTCTGCAGTTGTTAGAATTAATCGAAATGGATCTCGAATACAATAACAATTTGTATGAAGCTACTACCTAATTACCCATTTGTTATCCTAAACTATACTTTTAGAAACAATAATGTAGCACCTATTGATCAGTTGTTAGCAGCGCTTAGGTTTTATGCAAGTGCTGGACATTTAAGTACAGTGGCTGATTTTATCGGCATGGATATCTCCACAGCATCACGGTTAGTTGCAAAGGTTACACATGCTATTGGTAGACTGTATCCAGAGTTTGTTAAAATGCCAGGTCCAAATGAATTAATTCAAGCGCAGAGAGAATTTTATCGTTTATCATCTTTTCCCAGAGTTATTGGTTGTGTTGATGGTACGCATGTCAAAATACAATCACCAGGTACTTAAGTAGTTTCTCATAATACCTGATGAGGTCAATATACATTTTCCAGGTGGAGAAGATCCGGAGGTTTTTAGAAACCGAAAGGGATATTTCTCTATAAATGTTCAGGGTACTTGTGATGCAAATTTGAAACTGTTAGATGTTGTTGCTCGCTGGCCAGGGTCTACAAATGACTCCACCATTTTTAATAACTCGAGGCTTAGAAGGCGATTTGAAAACAATGAGTTCCCAAACTGTTTATTGCTAGGTGTGTTGGCTATTGACAGTAGAACATACAAAACAGTAATTTTCTAGGCGATAGTGGCTATGTTGTTAGAAATTACTTTTTAACACCTCTTCTGAATCCACTAGCAAGAGGTGAAAGACTGTACAATGAAGCACATATTCGCACCAGAAATGTTATTGAAAGATGTTTCGGTGTGTGGAAAAGAAGATTTCCAGTTTTAGCGTACGGAATGAGATTGAAGTTGAATACTGTATTGCATGTTATAGTTGCTACAGCAGTTCTCCACAATTTAGCAAAATAAATGAATGAAGAGGAACCTCCATTACCTGATGATCTTAATCATGAAGAAGTAAATTATTTGATCAATATTGGCAATGTTGGCGATATTCCTAATATAAATGAAAACGTTCATGTGAATCACTTGCGGGGTCATTTAATAAGGGAGTATTTTACAAGACTGTAAATTGTTAATAAAATTTATGATGAAACATTGGAACTTTTATGAAAACACTTGCACAGTGATGAGAAATATACACACAATATCAAAATTACATTTACAAAAAGTACCAACTTAAAAATAATAATGATTTTTTTATAATCTCAATTGCAACTGCTTTAATTTTTCCTTTTCTACTTGAATCTGTAATTTAAGTAATTCCACTTTTAGTTCTCTTTCACGTTCTATACTTTTTAGTTCTTCTTCCATTTTCTTATTTTGATAATTGACCATATCGATTCTTTTGTCAAGGAGCAAATCGTACTTCTCTGCCAATTCTGATCTTGATAATGCCTTAATTTGGGTTGTTGGACGACGCCTTGAGGTAGGCAATGTTTGCCTTCTTTTTGGTGTAGGTGTACTGTCTAAGCAAATGAAAAGGCTATTTTACTTACAATGCATACGAGACTATAAATACGTACCTTCCACATTACTTTTTCTTTTCCCACTTCCTTTTTCATTTGAATGAATTAAATTAGAAGTAATTGGTTTCTGTAAATCGGATGGTATGTGTCTCCTCCATGTTATATTCTGAAAACAAGTAAGTAGTTTATAACAAATAATTTAGAGAAATTACAAACATAACAATATGAGAAAATAGGTCAATACTTACGTCCTCATCGTCGCTTAAATGTAATGATTCATACACAACATCTATATTATTATCTTGTACGTCTTCTGAAATATCTAAATCCACAGGCTACAATCACAATACAGTTCTATAAAAATGTAATGATTTTATATAGAAACTACCTCTACATTTTCCTCTTGTTCTGCATCACCATCGAGATCATTTTCCAATCCATACACAGTTTTCGTATTCATAATCGAAAGGATAATGTCATGACAAGGTTCTTTTTTTGGTATATTGATTTAGCCTCCTCCTGTCGCAAATACTTCCTTTTTTCCTCTGCTGCAAGTTTTCTGACTTCTCGTTTACGATTTTCATAAAATATTTTTAGCACTTCAGGTGCACGGTAAGTGGTACTCATGGCGTTCACTTCCTGGGAAATTTTCTCCCACTGTCTCTGTTTATGTAAATTAGAAGTTTGGTCTGTTTTTTTATTTTCTAGAACACCTTTATATTTGGCACAAATATTGGCAATCATTAACTTTTCATCCGCACTAAATGTTGGGCATCGATTTCTTTTTTTGGTCGGAGCTTCCATTATTAACCAAATTTACTAAGTTTAACAAAGTTGATGATTTTAAGCTCAAATATAAACTTTAAGATTAGCAGTCAGTAAACACATGTGACAGTACCTAGATATTTTACACTGTTGCCTAGCAGATTCCCCGATTACCTAAACAGCGTTATGTTTTTGTCGGTGCAAGTGGTTACAAATTAAAATTGATTAAAATTAAAACAGTGATTAGTTAAACAACGTTTATTGCAGAAACGGTGCAAAAATCTAAAAAATTATAGTCTCACCAAATTCAGAGAAGGAAAGCCTTTCCAATGATGTCCTATCTTCCTTGTTGCGCAATTACCAATGCTAAAGGGTTTTGCTTTAGCACTAGGGATGCCAGACAAAAATAAATAAAATAAAATAAAAAAGGATGTATATAGGTACTGAATAATTACAAACATTTAAAAGAAAAAATCATCAATATCGACCTGTTCCTAAAACGTTTCAAGATTTTCAAAACCCTTACTGTTTTGATTATTAATAATCTCTTAAAAGAATGCCAGAATTTTTCCATGTATCTCTTCAAACTATAAAATAAATAAGAGTAAGAAAATTAAAAAGAAACTTTTAAGTTCATTCACTACTATAGTTGTAGCAAAGATAACGCAAAAAAATAAGCAGTTAGTGTAATTTTACTCAGTCACCAATAATCAACATATGTGGTCAAAGAAACGTAAAACTGATTCTAAGAAAACTGGAAACTTACCTTTTGTGAACACCACCACAACACTACCACCAGAAATAAAATTTTTTAAAATTAAAAAAAAAGTATACACATAATCAAAACCCGTGCTCAGATAAATTTTAAAATACCACTCTGTCAAACGTTCAAGAATGAAGAGACTATACAGGCATTAAAGTTCTAATTAGTTGTGGTCATACGTACTTCAACCTGATTTTTCGGACCTAATTACTTTTACCTTGTTACCCTATTCATCTTCCAGAAATAAAAGAAAGGATCTCATTACGATATTTCTCTTATTGTTTCTTTATGAAGTGCAATTTGTATTATCGGGGTCTTTTCAAATTTACCTTTAAATATAATATCTTAATTACTTATCCAAATTTAGTGCCATCTATGAAATGCATTGTTCTATTGTCATTTATACATACTCGTTTTGTCTAAAATAAATTTAATTCATTTCGTTTGTCACCCTTTTCAACTAAAGAAATAAAGAACAATTTTTTATGTGTCTTCAATAAGAAATCTTTATGTAAGGGAGCGTTAAAATTACTTCCTCTTTCTATTTTCATCTTGATCTTATAATGTAAATATTTTTAACTTTAGACTTATCACTTTGTTTGTGTACTGTATTATATGTTGATTCTGTTTTAATATTAAGAGTGTCTCAAAAGTAGCGAATATTACACATAATATTGTAGATATACTATAACTAGGTATAACTATTTGGTATTTAATTACTCCACAAAAGACGTTTCAGTTACCTTATTTTCTCAAAACGAAAGTGCAGTAGATAAAAATTATGTGTTCTTAAATTACAGGATTTAACTATATCAGACTCTTCATACAACTTCAAAAAAAAAACCAGCGTGATTATATTTAAGAAATGGAAATACTTAAGAATCGCGATGTGTTGAAAATGAAAGACCAAATAACTATTATTTGAAACATTTTTCCATGAAGTAGATGTTTACCAAGATGTGCAAGTGCACTACTACATACATTCTGTAAAGGCAATGGTCTAGTAGCCTCTTAAAAATATTTAATTTTAATAAACCAAAGATTTACAGAATTATCCGGGTGTGAATTATTCGGGAGCGAATTTTTCGAGTGCGAATGGTCCGGGTGCGAATTATCCGGAAGCGAAATGTCCACGGTGCGAAATATCCTGGGAGCAAAATGTGCGGGTGCGAATTGTCCGCACACGGTTAGATTTTGACATGTAATAAAGTTATGTTATGTTCGAGAGACTATCAACTCAAAATAAACTCCCTTTGGGAGTACGGCGAATCGGTAAATTTAGTATGTAACATGTTGAATTTATACATTGTATATTACTTTTGTTTAAAAGTACCTACAGCAACATAAATTCATAGTTAATGCGAAAAGGAGAACATGACCCTTCCTCCAAGTGTGTTATTAGACCTGCGGGATATATTAAAAGCGAGGAGAACAAAATAAGTTCACAGCCTCAGGTCTCGGCACAAAAATAACGTCCCGCAATGTCGTTATCGAGTGCGCGCCGTCGTAACGAGTGATCGATCGCGATTATAAGTGTCAATTAAGAATAGAACTAATTTGTTAACATAAACCAAATCGTGAGGGTGAGTACCACCCTTACTTGCCGCCGCAATGCCAACTGCTATCTGTGGTGTTTGTCGGGTGGATCTTAATCGTACAGATAAAGTTATTCTTTGTGCTAGTTGGTGCCAAACTTACTTTCACACGAAGTGCGTTAAAGTCAGTGACGATGAAGTTAAATTTATTAACTCAAAAAAGAACTTTAATTGGTTCTGTGACCTCTGCGCTATCCACGAATCACACAGCCTCAGGAATATGTTGACTAACATTAACAAAGTAACGATGAACTGGGATAGAGTTATGGAAAGTCAGCACGAGAAACTGATGAACCACGAGAAGTTATTAAAAGATACTTTAGACCAGGTAAATACCCAAAATGTCAGCATCAGCAAGGATCTAGCGCAAGTTCTCCAAACTCAATCTGAAGTGAAGCTTACGTATGCAGACAAGTTGAAACAGAAAACCTATGACCCAGTTATCATCGTTAAGCCCAAGGACGCGAACCAACCGTCCAAGCAAACCTTCACCACCCTCAAAGAAAATATCGATCCAATTACCCGAGAAGTTACCGGAATGAAAACTCTACGTAGAGGAACCATTGTTGTTGAATGTAAAAATAAAGAAGCTGCAGCCAAACTTAAGGAGGAAGCCGAAAGGAAACTGGGATCCGACTACATTCTTTCCTTACCAAAACAGAAGATGCCGAAGATTAAAATCGTAGGCCTCAATGACAAGATCGGGAGTACCCAAATGAAGGAAATGATTCTCGCGCAGAATCAATTCCTTGACGAAGCCGCGTACATAAACGTCGTACACATAACGGAAGATAAAAGAAATCCTAACAGGTATTTGGCTTACGCTGAGGTTGACGGTAATAGTTACCGGAAAATTCTAAATGAACAAAAGCTTAACATAGGATGGGACCGTTGCAGAATTTATGATGCTGTGACAACTAGAAGATGCTACAAATGCAATGGGTTCGGACATAAGGCAACTGACTGTAGCAAAACTACTACCTGCCCCAAATGTGCGGGAGACCATGACCTAGCGAGCTGTAAAGCTTCGGACGCGGAAATTAAATGCAGTAACTGTGCCAACGCCGTTGAGAAACTAAAAATGAAACTGGATGTACAGCACCCGGCCTGGAGTGTTGATTGCCCAGTCTACAAAAAACGACTCGATCAAGAAAGAAGCAGAATTGATTTTTTAGGCCATCCCCAACACTAATCAAGCAAGGAAATAGGTACGGATCAACGCTCTCAATCTATTACCAGAACGTAAGTGGAATGCGAACGAAAGCGCAATCTTTCAAAAATAAATTGGCAATTACAAATTACGACATTATTCTACTGACTGAGACCTGGTTAACGGAAAATTTTCATGACGCTGAGTATTTAAACAATCAATATGCGGTCTTTCGCAATGACCGTAATTACGAAGAAATGAAGTGCACCATGGGAGGCGGAGTTTTAATCGCAGTCAAGACCGATTTGAATGCTGAAAAATTGGAATTTCAAAGTGATCTAAATGAAATATGGGTCAAACTTAAAATTAATAATACTTCATACATTATTGGTGTTGTCTACTTTCAACCGAAATCTGGTATTGATAAGTACGTGAGTTTTACCAAAAGTTTAGAAACAATTGAAAACATGTTGCATTCATCGGAAGTGTTAATAGCAGGCGATTTTAACCTACCACAAATTGTTGACGCCACGTATAATTTCGAAAACGCGAGTGCTAAATGCAAAGTAATTAAAAATATAGCTTCGATGTACAACTTAAAACTCATTAATACGGTTAAACTTAAAAACTGCAATAATAGAACCCTTGACCTAATTTTAACTAACTTAAACGCGGAAATTAAATCTGCTGTCGACTCACTGGATAAAATTAATCCACTTCATCCTGCACTAGAAATAGTCTACAAAGTCCATAGACCAGCTAAGCGAATTACTAAATTAACCAACTTCAATTTCAAAAAAGCAGATTTTCTTAAAATGTACGTCCTTTTTCGCGATATTAATTGGAAGGAGTCTCTTATCCTGAAGAATTTCAAATCGGTAGATGATGCAGTAACTAGCTTTAATCAAACGGTAATGAACATTTTCGATGAATGTGTCCCCAAAGTTACAATTAGGAGTGCCAATAAGTATCCTAGCTGGTTTAATATAGACATTATTAAGAAAATCAAACAGAAAAATAAGTTTCGGTTACAGGGCCAATCGGAAGACTTCATTGAAGCCAGAAAAGAACTCAAAAGAATGATCCACATTGCTCATAAGAGGTACATTAATCAAATTGAAATGGATCTGCGGAAGAATTCCAATAAATTCTGGAACTACATCAAGTCGTTGAGGAAGAATAGTCAACTACCTGGAGTTTTTGAGTACAAAGACACCTCGTTAACGGACGCCAGAAGCATTGCGGACGCCTTTGCATCCTTCTTCGAGTCAGTCTACACTATGGAGAGGAACGATGACCCGGAAGATGACGTGGAATCGGACCTGGTGCTATCCAAATTGCACTTGACTCAGTTACATGAATCCGAGATACTGGAAGCAATTAAAAAATTGAAACCGAGGTCGGCTATGGGCGAAGATGGAATCCCACCCTACATCGTGAAAGGATGTGCATCTTTATTGGTAACCCCCTTACTACATCTATTTAATTTAGCTTTGCAAACATGTACATTCCCTGAAGCTTGGAAATGCACCAGAATAACACCAATTCACAAAAGTGGAAGCCGAAAATTAGTTGAGAATTATCGCCCAATTGCAATTATACCAGCAATAGCGAAAATTTTCGAAAGAGTGATCTATACTAGACTTTATTCCCATCTCAGCAGTATAATTGCAGATCAACAGCACGGTTTCACGCGGAACAGATCAACGATTACAAATTTAATGCAGTTTACGTACAATTTAATGATGAATAATGCTCGTAAGCTGAGAATTTCCCTCCTCTTTTACACAATTTAAAGCTTAAAAGTTTTCAGCGCAATTAAAAACACCAGTTCTTAATCCTCTTTGCGTTCGTGTTACAAAACGTAATGTCTGCAACCCGTAATAGGATTATACAAAATACCCTTCCTTAACTAAAGGCTTAAAAGAGAAACTAACCTGTTCAGAAGCAAATTATTAACTAGATTTTGGGTCCTTTCATTTCTTATGCTGATGAGATGTCCCCCCTTTCTCGCGCATTCCATTTCCGCCTGAGCCCAAGGTAGCTTGGACGTTTCGAATGCACCGACGCAAAATTGCCTCAGCGCGATCCAGCCGAAACCGCATCTACCCACAATCTCGTCCACGGCCTCCGCTTTGTAAATCATCCTCAGTCCCAAAGCACTTCCACTCGAACTTCGCACAGACACTCTAAGCACCACTTTATTTTCTCTCGAGAGTATTTGAATTTGTTTTTCGGCATCCCCCGGTCTCGTACAATGCCACCAGGCGCTTTCGCCGTCCAATAGCTGCGTTAACAGCCCTTCGCATTTTATGTCGCCACTTTTGCGCTCTTGTAAATCGATCGCCGTATCGGGTGTACCTGTCGAAGTGCTATCGCCAATTTGTAAAGTCAAAGCGACACGATTTCCGTAGGGCAAATAAATTTTAAACGTACATTCGAGATCGTCGCTCGGTTTTAATTCGAACGAGCCGTTTCGACCTAGAAACGTCATGTTGTAACAATAATCGACAGTCCTGTACGAAAACGCGAACATCGGACTGCCGTGTAAATGTAAAAATGGGGCGGTGTGCGACGATGGAAAGTAAATGTGTCGATCTGTATCCGAGAGCTCTTCCAGTTTGCCGCAGAGATGAGCCTGCTTGTGACTACGAATGTACTGATGCTGAGACGTGTTTAGACCGGAAAAGTGAAGATAACCCCTTGCACATGGAACGTTTAAACGTACAAGGACAATCGCCACTCCTCTTCGTTCCTCGTGACCGGGAAACCATGCCTGGCAGTCGAGTCTTCGTGGAAAGTCCTTCCAACTCACAGAAGCTTCATTCAACTTCAGCCATAACCAGCAGTCTGAAAAAGATGAAAGATTTACAATTATTAAATTTGACAATTGTTTATATGAATGTATTCAAGTTCATTTGAATTTGGGGGGTATAAAGTTGCAGAAAAGGACGACTCTGTCTTTGATTGCTAAATGTACTAAACCCTGTAAGAAATCCCATGAAAGATAAGTGGCAGGTTTTCGTGAGTGAGTCCGAATCTTTTTTACATATTTCCTCGAAGACTTTTAGACGTTCTTAAATGGTTTTAAGAGATCCTCAAAGAATCTTCAAGTATTCCTCAAAAGCTCAATTACTTTTTCAAGTATAATTTTCCAAGGATAATCTCAATATTGATCCTTAAATATTATTCAGGTTGGTCAAATATTTTTTAAAAGACCAGGAGACATTGAAATATGCGGAAGGAAAAGTTTTGTAAGTTTAAAGACGGTTAAGGTTTCAATGTTATGTTCAAGTTTTTATTTTGTCGAATATATTTCAGCGAGCTTTATCACACTTGACGGAAAATTGTTTCGTTTTACACGATAAAAAGAGGTCACTTCTAACACTGTAAATTAAGCTTCCTTGGGAAAGAGATAAGAAAATTAACGAAACATCGCCGCCATTGCTTTCCACCACGAAATAGGCGTTTTAACTCAGCTTAGTATAGAAAAAGATGATGAGGTTTGCGTGAAAAAGTCTCGTTTTGGCATCCGAAGAGTCAATACTGGCCAGTACGTCGTTTAGGACACGGCTTTCAATTATAAAGAATGCCAGCTTAATATCCCGTGTAAAGTGAAACTGCGATAAAGAAAACTGTTGCCAAAGTCAGATTACATTTACGTTCATTTAGTGCGGCTAAAGTTAAAAGTGAACAGTTTTACTGAACGGATTTCCAAAATATTCAACGAACAGATTTCACGAACAAACCTTTAAAATCGAGTTTATGCTAGTGGTCGTTTTGTGGTGGTAACCCAAAAATAGTTGGTTCAAGGTGGCATGGATTATTGCTTATGATTTAGTTAGTAGCTACAAGTGGAAGACTAGGGTCGAACCTGTTGATATAATCAAAATGTAGCTTTATTATTATATTTAAATAAAGTACGTAAATAAAACCCAAGATAAATCATTACATGGCGATCCTGCAAAAAACTATCTTAAAAATTTTAATTTAGGCGGAAGCCGAGGTGGAAACATTACACAAATCCTGGTCTGATCGAAAAAGTACGAATTGATTTGGATTCTACGCACCCAAATTATTAAGAAAAAGTGTTTTCCCGAGAAATTTTGGTGTAATCGATTTTTGGTAAAAAAGGAAGGTTATACACTGCCTTTTTTTGAGCCCCGAAAAAAAAATTGTCTCAGATCGACCCGAAAAAAAATTTTCTTATAGAATGTGGCCTGTAGAATCCATAATTTCAAACAGTTCCAAGATTGGGCTACTAGTTCAAAAGTTACAGCCCTTTGAATTTTCTTTCGAAATTGGTTTCTAGTCTATAACTTTTGATTGAGAAGTCTGATCGAAAAAGTACGAATTGTTTTGGATTCTACGCACCAAAATTAATAAGAAAAAGTGTTTTCCCGAGAAATTTTGGTGTAGTCGATTTTTGGTAAAAAAGGAAGGTTATACACTGCCTTTTTTTGAGCCCCGAAAAAAAAATTGTCTCAGATCGACCCGGAAAAAAATTTTCTTATAGAATGTGGCCTGTAGAATCCATAATTACAAACAGTTCCAAGATTGGGCTACTAGTTCAAAAGTTACAGCCCTTTGAATTTTTTTTCGAAATTGGTTTCTAGTCTATAACTTTTGATTGAGAAGTCTGATCGAAAAAATAGGAATTGATTTGTATTCTACGCACCCAAATTAATAAGAAAAAGTGTTTTCCCGAGAAATTTTGGTGTAGTCGATTTTTGGTAAAAAAAAGAAGGTTATACCCTGCCTTTTTTTGAGCCCCGAAAAAAAAATTGTCTCAGATCGACCCGGAAAAAAAATTTTCTTATAGAATGTGGCCTGTAGAATCCATAATTTCAAACAGTTCCAAGATTGGGCTACTAGTTCAAAAGTTACAGCCCTTTGAATTTTTTTTCGAAATTGGTTTCTAGTCTATAACTTTTGATTGAGAAGTCTGATCGAAAAAGTACGAATTGATTTGGATTCTACGCACCCAAATTAATAAGAAAAGTGTTTTCCCGAGAAATTTTGGTGTAGTCGATTTTTGGTAAAAAAGGAAGGTTATACACTGCCTTTTTTTGAGCCCCGAAAAAAAAATTGTCTGAGATCGACCCTGAAAAAAAATTTTCTTATAGAATGTGGCACGTAGAATCCATAATTTCAAACAGTTCCAAGATTGGGCTACTAGTTCAAAAGTTACAGCCAGGGTTAGGAGAGAACTAGGCAGGAGAAGTTAGGAGAAGTTAGCGGTGACTAGACTAGAAGCCAAGGAACGAGAAATTGACTATGGAAGATGGAACCTGCATCATTATCTTGAGCGACAGCGTCATCGACTTCGAGTGAGTGTTGTGTTAGTGAAATAGTGAAAAGGAAAAAATTAAAAATTGAAATTCACATTATACAGGATGACCCATCATTATTATGCTGACACCAAATAATAACGTAGTTTGCACAACAATATTTAGCAGATTTGGCTATAAAATTGTATTTTCCAGATCATCTATTAGTAGCAATCTGAAGCCAGCAAGCAAAAAAAAAAACAGCAATGAACGATCTGCTAAAACAAGTCAAGTTTTCGTTTCATGCACAATATAAAAGAACCCCAATGTGCAATTGCAGTTTTGCTCATGCACGGCCATTTGTATTCCGGAACAGACTCGGTTATATCCCGGTCTCGTCGCGACGCCACTTAACATAATCGCAACAGAAACAATTTCATGTTCACATCAAATCGTAATCGACCGTTAGCGTTTCTTGCCACTTAAAATCATTACTCGCTTTGAAATTGCTTACCTTTTATCATTTGCCGTACGAAAACCCTCTTGTATACCGCAGCGTTGTCCTCCAATTTTCTATACTTTAACCTGAAAAAGAAAATAAATGTTAGAGTTCGGCATATACCTAGATAAAAATGAATTTCAGCAGATACGATCGAAATGGCTTGCGAAAACTATCCTCGGTTTCAAATGAAAGAAAGCAAATGACATGGAAAAAAAGATATTACGTAAATATCAATTACGCAAAACCATTTTGCGTCATCCCCTGGGAACCCTATTCATAACAACACGAAAACATACACCTGCCTGACATTCTCGCGTCCCTCCGCACTTTACCTAATTTTCGTGCGTTTAGAAATACATTTACATAATCCATGTCGGTGTCATGTTTCTCCATTTTCTCCTTTTTCATAGGGAGGAAATGGATTTGACTGTGCGGATTTTTAGTTATACAGTTTATTTATTTAAAGAAGATGGCTCGTTTGGAAACGGGTTGTTTTTTACACAAAGCCATTACAGACTACAATGGTTACTGAAAGCTTTTCATCCATTAAGGTAACTTTTTCTATTCAATGCCGGTTGGCCTTAAGAGAGCATTAAATTTTGTGCCCGCTATGAAAACAGAAGAATATACGTAATGTTTTTTGATTTAAACTTCAACGCTGTTTTTAGTGCATTTTCTAACTCGTGTTGGGAGGCGACATTATGGGCACTTTCCCCATAAATTGAGGCTTATTACGTTGGGATTTCGGGTCCGTTAACTTGGCCCCTCCACTGAGAGAGTTGATAGTCGTATTATTTTGAAATGAATGCGCTCGTTATGCGCTCATGCGCCACCGATAATAACTCTTGCGCCATTATCGTTTTGTAGAAATCCGAAAAAACATTTGGGGGGGGGGCCAAGTGAACGTAGCCCCCCCCCCGTACGTATTTTGTTCCTTGTAACTAGGTCACCTGATACATTTGGTTATGCGCTCAATTGCGCCACTTGAATTAAAGCTACCGCCATTACGGTTAAGCCATAAAAAATTTTTAAAAGGGGGGGGGGCTAACTTAACGTTTTCAAAAGTTACGTTTTTTAACATGTTTTTTCTACTACATCGTACCTTTCATCATGCGCTAAAATGCGCCGTAAACAAAAATCTTGGCGCCATTATAGTGTTTCAGAAACACTATACAGGGTGTTTTTTTTGGGAGCTTTAGTTAAACGATTCTGAGAAAGTAAAATAGGTAGGTTTTTAAAAATTTGTATTTAGGAGTTACTCCGAGGGCCGAATCGATGTAAAATATTTTCAAAATGGACGCACTTCCGGAAATAACTTTTGAAAACGCTAAGATAGACCCTCCACTTTTTAAAAAATTTTTATGGCTTAACCGTAATGGCGCTAGCTTTAATTCAAGTGGCGCAATTGAGCTCATAACCAGATGTATCAAGTGGCACAAATACCGGTAGCAAAATGCGTTATGGGGGATTCCGTTCACTTGCCCCCCCCCCCCCCAAATATATTTAAGGATAACCAAAAAACAATAATGGAGTTGGGTTCAAAAAAGAGCGTTTTTCTTCAAATTGGCGTTTCCACTTGTTTTTTCTCTGAAATTTTCTTATGGAATTTGTGGTTTTGTTTGTATCAATCCGAGTGAAAAGGGAGCGGTAGATAAAAAAGAACGATGTCAAACCTACGCTACTCTAAAAAAATGACAAATTAATCATTTCAAATTGGCCAAAATAGAAAAAAAATCACTTGTGAGCAAAAGACGAAAAATGCACTTTCAAATTTGTTTTTTTTATTTTAATAGCCCTGGATATTTCATACCTTAACGCGTATACAAACAGACTGACATATCAAGAAATTGAAAGTGAAGGTGCACTAAAAATTCTTGTAAGTATTAGTTCTATGGATGAGCAATCAAAGCGTTCAACAAAAAAGCCTCCGCGCTTGCATATTACCTACATTTTCGCAGTTCTTCTTGAAAATCCGTATTATTTTAAAGCTAAAAATGTGATTCATATGCAAAAGGGACGCACTGATAATAAAGCTGATACTAATACGCTATATGTTAACGCGTCTGTTGACAGCCGAATCCCAACAGAAATTTGAATGTATTTCTCTAAAATGCAATTAAGTGATTTTATCGTGTGGTTTGTATTTAGGGTAAGACGGATCAATGTGGATTTTTTGGTCCTTTCACGTTTGTACAATTTAGGTTTTAGGAAGATTTCAGAATTTTCGAGTTTAATCAGGCTCAAAATACACAAACGAACGATAAAAAGATAATTGATGGATGGATGGATGGAGCACAGAAAGGTAATCATAAAAATTTTCGCTTAAGAAAAATGATTTTTTTAGAAATTAGTCATTCAAGGGCTTAAAAAACACAAACAATCGAATAAATTGAATTTGCGAATATTTGGAATGTTGTGATGAAATTCGCAAAAGATTTTTTGCAATAATAATGTTTTTAATAACGTCTACCACTAAATTTTGTTGTGATATAAAAGATCCCAATGCCATGTCTAGAAAGAGTGCTGTTCATCATGATATTTTCCACTCTTTGTGTCATGAGAAGTGAACTTAATTAATAGTAATTACAGTTAATGTTAGTTAATTGCCACAAGGTATGACAGGAGTATGTCTTTCTTTGTATTTTGTACTAAGAAAGTAGTCTTTCTCCACCCTATGGTATGTCAATTATGGTGTACTCTATACATAGTAATTTGTTGTTATCCCGTAATTGGAAAATGTTTTTTCTGTTGAACATTAAATATATTATTATATATTATATTATGTAAACCATTTCACAAAGTGGCTTTTGATCCAGGGAGCACTCTATCTTGACGTTTCTAATTAACTGTAAACATTTTCACATAACAAACGAAACTAAGCATTGGAATTTAGCTGCGTTCCAATTTACGTGTTCAGGGAGAAGTAATTGAGGTACTGTAAGTATTGACGCAAAAATTTCTTCCTTCAGAGTGATTACATTCTTTGCAATGACAGGAATCGTTAAAATTCCAAAGTAAATCTCTCTCGGAAAATCAAATGGAAAGGGAAAACTCTTACTAATGGCGATTTTCAGTAAAGAAAATTTGTGCCAATAAAAAAGCGCAATAAGTTTTTACGACGTCTCCACGAAATACCCTATTATTTATAAACTTCTCCAACGTAACGCTCAAAGACTCGTGCTTTAACTACTAACGATATCGTTAAATATTTAAATTACCTTAAAAATCTGTACGGGAGAAAGAACTTCAAACAAGTTTACTATTAAAATTGTGCTCATTCGAGCTTTAAAGTGCTATTTTATGCACTTTCAGCTTTGATTGCGCCGGTAGATAAGTCGAGAACTAATTTATCTGGCTTCCTCTATGATATTCGAAACAGAGTGCGAAGTTCGAAATGAGCTTTGTTTCTAACCGGAATAACGCTGCATTTTTTTTTGGTTTGCGTGCATCCTACTTCTAGGAAATGCACGCTGGGGCGCAAATAAAGTATTGCGATTCGCTATAAGTTCATTTTCACACCCCTATGTAGCTAACTGGATCTACCAGGCATTGCTTGAATTGTTTCGCAAGAATGTTGGCCGTATCGTATCCCGTGCTATATTAGATGAAACTTTGAAATAAATCATGAAAAATTCGGTCTTTCAAATTGTTGTAAGGTCATAAATGTAATGACTGAACTTATCTTAAAAATATACCGTAAAATGGTTTAAAAGTTGTACCTTTATCAATGGACTTTTGGCATATGAAGAGGTTGAACTTCTTTTTAATTTCGAAATCTAAATTTAGAATGTAATAGTTCGGGATCAACTGTATCTTATAGAAAATTCCATTCTAAACAAAATTCATACCTATCTATTCATTTTGTCCAATGCAAAACATTTAGAAGAAAATGTTCCAGGAGTTTCCAGCCAGGAAATATTAAGTACGTAAGAAAGGGAAACGAAGGAGAAAGGAGATAAGTTAGGCGCTAAATAATTTTTATAAACAGAAAATGCCACACGATCAACCTACTTACACAAATAATAAATAGATTACCACATTCACAAAGACAAGAAATTAGTAAGTACTCATAAACAGGTAAATAATTTATTAGAAAACGATACAATAGAACCGTCAGTTAGTCCTTATAATTCACTTTTGTTAGTTATTAAAAAGAAAACTGATGATGGTACAGAGAAATGGAAACCAGTAGGTAGTAGACTTTAGATGTCGTTTGAATACTTTAAAATTAAACCCATCCAAATGCCAATTTCTGAAAATGGAAGTAACGTATCTAGGTCACATGATATCTAGTGAAGGTATCAGCCCATATACCAACAAATTACCCCACCCCAAAATCAGCGAATGAAATTCAACGTTTTATTGCTTTCACGAATTATTATCCCAAATGTTGCTAAGACAGCGTACCCTTTAAAAAAATTACTGAAAAAGAATGTAGAATTTTTATAGACACTTGAGTGTGAAAACTCGTTTATAATACTTAAAGGAAAACTAATACAACCCCCTATCCTCAGATATTCAAATTTTTCTGAACTTTTCATATTAAGGACCGATTCTTCAAACTTCGCCCTAGGTTGTGTCTGTGTCTTATCGCAAGGTGACATAGCAAAAGATCAACCGATAGCTTTTGCAAACAGAAGTTTAACCAAACATGAATTAAATAAGCCAATAATAATCGAAAAGGAACTTTTAGCTATCCATTGGGGAATAACATACTTTCGCGCATATACCTTTACGGTCAAATATTTACAATGATAACAGATCACAGATCTCTTGTAGGATTGTTTACCCATAAAAATCCATCTTCAAAGTTGAGTAGAATTCGAGATTATGACTTTGATATCATATACAAACCAGGAAAAGAAAATACGAACGCAGATGCTATATCTCGAATAGTAGTCCAGGGAATAGAGGGTTTAAACTTGGAAAATGAGAAGTAGTTCCAATTTCTTTTGCATGTCATAGACAGTCATCTGGTGGTTAAAAATCTAAGTTTTCGTGTGTGCTTTTCCCGTACCACCCCTAAAACCTCTGTAATTTGGTTGGTTTCTTAGTTTTTCAATCATATCTTTTTAATGATTCACTTTAGAAAAAAATATTGTTAACAAATTGTAGACCATAAAATTCTACAGAACTTTGATATACACTACTTTTTGTGAAATGTTTATTAAAAGAGATACAGAGCTTCAAAGTCTGCTTATATTTTTAAGAACGTTTTAAAATATACGTGTGGAATAGAAAAATTGCCTCCTCCCGTTCCAGTTTATACATCCCCTACTGAAATGAGTGGTTCTGTAAGCGCTACTTTTTTTTTAAAAACGCGACATTGACTATTCATGTTCATATAAAATAATGATTTGTAAATTATGTTCGAAAGCGGTATAATCATAGATAGTTGAACAATCACTACTATAGGGGGTTGAAATAAATATCCCATTTTTTTTAGGGGGTGTTAAAATGAAGTAAGACCACTTTTCTTATTTGATAATTGTGTTCGAAAGCATCATAATCACACAGTGTTAAATACCCTACTATAACCAAGGGGTTGAAGTGCTATCAACCCCTTTGATAAGGGTGCAGGGTACGGAAATTATTAACACTATAACTTAATAGTCGAGGTATTTTCTCATATGAATCTTATGATTATAAAGATAACATTTTATTTCCCATAATAAGGCAGCATTCAGTTGTTTTTTATTTCAGAAAACAAATGAATAACGAAAAACAATTGAATTTTTTTAAATGGCAGTACACCTTTTCATTAAGCTCATTTGATAGAGATTTTTTTCTTTTTTCAATGTTACTACCCTAATACAAGAACATTTTTCAAAAAAACTTATAATCACATCAATAACATTAATCTAGATATCCTACATCAAAATAAAACAAATGAATATGTACGTTTTTTACCATCTTATTGTTAATTTCATGTTTCCTTCAAGGTTTAATAAGAAACGTACACGTTCATTTGTTTTATTTTGATGAAGGATATCTAAATTAATTGGTGTCAGTTGAAGATAATTCAAAGGGAAAAAAAGGACATGTAACGAGTTTTAATACATCCTTTTCATAAAAATTGTGGTGTTTTATCTTTTAATTTACTAATGAATTTTTTACCTATAGTATAGTGTTCGTATTATAGAATGATGTATTGATATTGAATTGTTTAAGTTCTTTTACGATTGTTGTTGATAATTTAAGGATATATTTGTTGAGATTCAATGTTGGTTATTATAGTGAAGTCATTGTTGAGAATTTTCCCTAAGCAATTAGGTTGGAGGTTTATAATTTGGTCAGGTTTTTGTGTTGATTGCTTTTTGTTGGTTATATGTTTAAATCCTTGTTTTATTTTTGATTTTATGTAATTGATAGGATAATTATTTTTGGTCAGGATTTCAGTAATTTTGTTAAGGTTGGATTTATGAAACTTGGAACTGGAGAGTAAAATAGCTCGGTATTTGTATTTGTTAGTTGTTATGGGGTTATAATTTAAATATCTGTCAGTTTTTACAGTTTTTCTAAACCAGTTTGTTGAAAATTTTTTGTTATTGAGGTTTTTCATTATATATATATATAGTTAGATCTAAGAAATTTAATGAGTTGTTATTTTCTTTTTCTAAGCTGTACTTGAGTTTTGGGTGGTAATTGTTAAAAATTTCATAGATTTCAGTTATTGTCGGCACAAATAATAATGTCATCAACATATCTTTTATAGAAGCTAATGTAATTTTTGTTTTTAAGTAGTTCACTTTCTATATCATGAAGGACAAGTTCAGCAATTGATGAGGAAATTGCAAAAACTTGTGAGAATAGATTTCCACTAAAGGAAAAGTATGTTGATTCTAGAATGAAGGTTAGGGTAGTGATAAAATCATGATTTTATCAATAGAAGTAAATTTTTTAGTTTTTTTCCAATTTTTATTGATTGAGTTGATGGTGAAGCGAGTTCAGTAGGAATGCTTGTATAAAGGGAGACAATATCGAGGGAAAAAAGGATTTGTCCTTCATGATATGTTGCAGTGTCAATAAAATTTTTAAAATTCCACGAATCTTTAATACTATATTTTTTTTGTTATATTTGTTAAGATTTTGGAAAGAAATTTAGAGAGCCACTATTGGTCTTAGTGGGAAGTTTTGTTTGTGGAATCTTAGTAATCCGTAAATTTTGGGGGTTGTACTATTGTATGCGGAGAGTTTTTTATATTCTATTTTTGAAATGTGTCCTAGCTAGATCTAACTAGTTTTTGATAATTTTGTTTACGTTTGTTTGAAAAGTTAATGTTGGATTTTTTGTTTGTAAGTGGCATTGTCATAGAGTTCGTTCATTTTATTTTGGTAGTCTTGTTTGTTTAGTATGCCGGTTTTTTGTGTCTTGTCTGCGTTAGTGATATTTAAATTTGGATGATTTTTTAAAAATGTTTTGGTTTTTAAAATTTTTTTATCAACTGTTTTTGTTGTGAGAATATTTACAATGGAAAATCTTAATTGTGTTGGTTTGTTTTGAGGTATAATATCAATACCACTTTCAATTTCGATTATGATATCATAGAGATTTTATCTGAGGGATGGTCATAATTAAATTTTCGGCCTAGACTTAGGACATGGGAAATTTCTGACGGTATGTTTATATTGCTTAAATTTATAAATCATCACCGATTTTTGTGCTATGTATTTGTTTGGTTTTGGCAGTAGTTTGTAATTTTTGTAATTTTTTTCATGTGTTTTGAAAATAGAGGCTCTTAGGGTTATATTTTGAAATATTTTTATGGTGATGAACTCTAGCAGTAACTTTGGGACAAAATTACTATTTTTAAGGTAAGCTATTGTGTTGGTGGTTTTTTGTTTTAAATGGTGCCAATAAGCTTCATTAATTAAAAGTGATTTTAAAAATTGAACTTGTAAATTTTTGAATTTAGTGGATGCTGTTTCATTTTTGAAGTTAATATGTAACGCTTTTAACTGTAAAAATGTGGGAGGTAATAGTTTTGTTTTACAGCAGATGTGATTATAAGTTTTTTTGGAAAATTTTCTTGCATTAGGGTACTAACATGTTACATCACCGAAAAGAGAAAAAAATCTCTATAAAATGAGCCTAATGAAAAGGTGTACTGCCGTTAGAAAAAATTCAATTATTTTTTCGTTACTCATTTGTTTTCTGAAATAAAAAACAACTGAATGCTGCCTTATTATGGGAAATAAAGTGCTAAACAATTTCCATATAGAAAATTTTTGTAGGTATACATTCGATATTTACCGAGATATACAGTGTGTCCCAGATCGCGTGGGATTGCATGGGTAACTTTGTTATTATTAAAGATAGAGAATTGGTTAAATGGGCAATGTTTTGCAGTTTTGGATGTTTATTTAAAATGTCCTTATGGAAATTCAAAATGTCGCATAGGTTCGACGTAAATTCAAAAAAACTAAAATTGGTCATTTCCTTGAATGTCTTATATCATCGAAAGTATAAGAGATATAAAAAAAAGTTTTATATAAAAGTGACTGTCATTGATACGCTTAATTTAGAATTGATGTAAAAAAAATTCAAGATATCCACTTTTGAGGAGCATTTACCAACTTCCTAAAGTTAAATGGAAGCCATTTTCGATTACTTGATAGATTTTTAAATTCTCTTTTCAACGAGCTATTATGGCATACGATTGAAAATAAGATACCAGTTATATTAACGGTTTTTGTATTTTAATCAAGTAGGCTGTGATGAATTAAAACAAAAAACAAAACAAAATCTTTTCGAGCCAACAAAACAATGAAAATAATTACATCAGATGTTTAAAAAATCAGAGGTGCACTCATGAGCGGGGGGTTTGGGTATTACAACTCCCTCCAAAATTTTATATAAGTAGGCCTAGAATTGATTTTCATATCATCACTTATTGACTATCTTATTATCCATACTTACATACCTAATAATAATAATAATAATAGATTAGTTAAATATAGAAAATCAGATGTAAATATTAATTCTGGAATTCAATTAGGCATAAGTCTATAATTCTCTAATGTTCATATAGTATAGAGACTTAGAGGGTAAGTAGCTTCTGTTTATATAAAACCATGTTACTTATTTTTACTTCCCCAAGGAAAGGGTGTGATGTAAATAATATAAGTAGGAAGTGGGAAGACAAATTGTGAGAAGTATTGTTTTGAAAAGTTTGCACGCTTTCGTGGATTAGGTATGAAAATTGACCGTGGAAACTATTTTTGTGGAAATTTCCAAAGACGTTAGTTTATATATCTCTAAAATCTTAACTTTATTGCTATTGACCAGGAAGCAGAAAATGATATGGGCTTTTTATTAGTGTGCAGCTAACGTCATCGATGTGACAGTTCATTTCAACAGCAGTGTCCAAACAAAAATTAATCCCCCATAAAATGTTCAGTTTCGTAAGAGAACTACTAACTTCAATTTCAGCGAAAGCGTCACGGACTTCTGCAAATATGAAGTTGCTGGCGCTTAGAGTGGAAGCAAAATCCAAAGGAACAATGTTTGAGAAGTGGGTCACATTTTGGAAGTCTATGTATTTAGATTACAAGGACTTGGTGTACGACATCCGTAATGACGTACGCGAGGAGCCCATTAAAGCCGTATGCCTGGCGTCACTTTTTGCTGCAGTAACGTATTGCGCTAAACATAATCCGAATTTAGTTAACTACAGGGCGAGCTTCGTGAACTATGCAAACGAGCTGTCTCTAGTACATCCCTCGTTACAAAAGGTGGAAGCTGCCTCCACCGTTGACCGAATCGGAAAGTGTTTTGCTAGAGACGTTGTGAGACGATTAAATTTGGGAATTGCTTCGGTGATATGGATCGATTTTCACAACAGAACTTGCAAGAACGGAGAATCGACGTGTCCGTACTTTCAAATGCAGTCGTACGAGATCAAGGATTACATCGTTGATGTGGGATTCTTGGATAGGTGGTGGTTTCTAAACAGTTGCATGGCAGATTATGACATAAATTACTAGTCCTTTCGTACAAAATAAAGACGCAGCATGACTCATTCCATCGTACTTTCGGGAATGTATCCCCAGTTACACAGCAGGATGTTAATGAATTGACAATTAACGAGTTGTATCCTTGGGGATTTTCGAAACCACGCAACGGTTCTACACGCATCTATTCTCGGCGTAGGTAATAAAAGAACAAGATTAAACCTTAAAAAAGATCGTTGCCTTCAGACTTTCGCCCGTTTCAAGGGATATATAGGTGGCACGTTTGTCCCTCCAAGGTAAGATAAACAAGTTTATTTGAATTCCTGCGGGATGGTAAATACTTCACATAACTCAGCCGTAATTCGTACGTAGTGCCGAGTGAAACGTTGCCGAGGCAACGGGGATACTTTATAACGCAATCTCGCCCGTTTTCGTAACGGCTATTGTCTTGTTTCGCGTTGAGGGATGAAGATGGTAAAACGGACTCCTTTCGCTTAAGATGGCCGTTAATCAAATTTACATCTAAAAGCGTACCCGCTCCTCAACTGCGAAGGAAATTTATAAATTGTCTTTGTAATCTAAGACTTCTCCAGGGGCGGACTGGCCCGGGGGGGGGGGGGGGGGCGATTGCCACCTGGCCTGTACGTCATAATGGCCCGTTGGAAATTTATAAGTATGTGCTGTATTTAGTTTCTTGCACTATTAATAAATTATTAACACGTTTCTCTAATTGGGGTTGATGTTAGGTTGTTAAAAAATTAAAAAATTCTGTTTTAATTGAAGTGTTTTACAATGAATTTATCATTTTCTGTCGTAGCATGAAAGTAATGAAATACAATGATAGGCGACGCGCCTCGTTTGGTTTGTATATTTTGTTACTTTTAATTATCAGCTGCAATTTAAAAAAAACCTGTATTGTAATCGATTTCCGAAAAAGGAGTACTTTAAAATGAAGCAAAAAATGTTTTTGTGGTGCGCCGCAGAGCCACCCCCCGACACCTTCATTACTACACTAATACTTTAATGGCCCGTAACCTATGCAATTCCACCTGGCCCGCCCCTGACTAGAAACCAATTTCGAAAGAAAATTCAAAGGGCTGTAACTTTTGAACTAGTGGCCCAATCTTGGAACTGTTTGAAATTATGGATTTTACAGGCCACATTCTATAAGAAAATTTTTTTCCGGGTCGATCTGAGACAATTTTTTTTTCGGGGCTCAAAAAAAGGCAGTGTATAACCTTCCTTTTTTACCAAAAATCGACTGCACCAAAATTTCTCGGGAAAACACTTTTTCTTATTAATTTTGGGGCGTAGAATCTAAAACAATTCGTACTTTTTCGATCGGACTTCTCAATCAAAAGTTTTAATTATCAGCTGCAATTTAAAAAAAAACTGTATTGTAATTGATTTCCGAAAAAGGAGTACTNTTCTTCTTCAGGTGTTTAGATTCATAAACTCTTCATAGTCATAAAGGTCATCAGATTTTTAAGTTTCCTTGGGATGCTTTCCGTTTTTCAAAAACCCCCTGATACTAATTTTTTTTTGTTTAGACTATATTGAAACGGAAAATCCAAAAGATACCTTTACAAAATTTCCCAGTCTTTCAAGAGCCATAAAATTTTGAATCTCAATATTATACTATTTGATTATATACAGGGTCCCGCAAACAAGTGCGCAGCCCGTCCCCCAAGCTATATCTGGTACAAAATAATTTTAAAAAATCTTTTTTTTGTGGCAAATGTCAACTAATAGGATGGTTTGTGGATCTACAGAAATTATTTTTGAATGTACAGGGTGTCCCATTTTGACGATGTCAATAAGTAACTGATTTTTTTAAATTGAACATAGTGCATATTTTTACTTGTTTGAATGTCATTTGTTCAAAGTGCTATAATTATTATACTACCACTGTTTTATTTCGCTATTCGATTGTCTTTTGTGCTCTCTTCAGTTTTTATAAGGGGTGTCTCCATTTTTTTAGGTTATTCAATATTTTTCACAAAAGTACCTACCCTGATATCTATCCCATTAATTAATTACATGTTTATACATCGGGGTAGGCTGTGAAAACAAAAAAAAACAAAAGAATACAGAAAGTAAACAAGTGCCACAAATTAATTGGTGCAAGTGTACTTTCAATTTCGTAGCAAAATAAGATTAATTGAAAAGGGGAATTTCGAAAAAATGATCAAATTTTTTTAGATTAATTCGGAATGACGCTACTTTATATCAAAATTCTGCCGGCTACTCCGAATTAGGTTGTCCCGCAGTTTTCCTAGTTCGTAAAGTAAATACCGGGAGTTAAAATTCTTTAAATTCTTATGATTCTTCGGATTCTTGCGTTTTTTCGAACTCATGTTGTTCTGAGCCCCAGTGCCATGTAATTGGAATTTGTATTCTGTATGGTTTCTGGTTAAACAAATAAACAAACAAATATTCGTAAAAATCCTGTGAATTATTCAGTTTTTTATGTGTGATTCCGATTCGTCAGTATAGATAATTATTCGGTTTTTTTTTAGAGACTCCGGGTTTCAGATTCTTCAGATTAATTGGAATTTACTTGTATTTCAAAACGTGGTTAAAATACCATTATGGTGCAGCGTGCAGCCACTTTCTGAGCTTTGTACTTAAAGTGACTTATAGGTAATCCAAAACTATTTCCCAGATATGAATTAATCATAACGAAAATGAAAAATTGCAGAAATGCGGCAATCATATTAATTGTTTGGCTTTACAGGTGAAATGGATTATATGGGTGTACTATTACCTTGTTTTTATCATAAAAGTCTAATTGCTAGTTATCATGAACATGTTTAGATTACTCCAAAATTTCTTTTCCTCTAAAAAGTCATGGGAGTTTTTGAAGCGACTTGAGAAAAACGCTACCCTCTATACAACCGACAAAGAAGGTATACGTCCTCGCGGCATCCACAACGTTTACAAGCTTTGATTATCGATAGGAAGTATTTTATAAATGCCCAAAGCATAAATAAACGATACTTACTGAAATGTAACGTTGACCTTCTCCTCCAGCGTCCTATTTTCGATGTACGTCCAATTCATCTTTAACGTAGAAGCGGATTCTAAAAGTCCTCTAAATATATGCGGCGGACAGGTTAAATCTAGCAATTTTGGACCATTAAAATGACCCTTCGGTTCGCCATTAATGTACGCCGAAAGTGTAAACTCCAACGGAAAGATGTCCTTTACGCTCGTGACCACAACTGCAACAAGAGAGAAAGGAGTTTAATTAAGCTCGTAACCGAACAGTGCGAATTATAATTAAGTCAGTGGTGCTGCAAACGTTTTAAATGTGACGTACATCCTACGGATGGGAACGTTACAAGCGGGATCGATACTTGTTTTAATTGAAAATTAAATATTTAGAGAGGAGCGGATGATGGAGGATACGGTTTCAATTTTTTAAACAAAAAAAAGTAGGTTTTCCATTATCCTTATCTCGTTTTTCTTGCACGGGGAGGACTGTTTTTCTTGAAGGGAATAAACGTGCGTGACATTTTGTTTCGGTAACCAGGGGCGGACTAGGTAGGTACTTACGGGCCAGGTGGAATTGCATAGGTTACGGGCCAATTTTTTTTGCTTCATTTTAAAGTATTCCTTTCTCGAAAATCAATTAGAATATAGTTTTTTTAAATTGCAGCTGGTAAGAGAAACGTGTTAAGAATTTATTAATAGTGCAAGAAAGTAAATACAGCACATACTTATAAATAAGGCTAGGATTTTAATGACGTTAAAAATCAGCGAAAATGCAAAATAAAAAATCAATTATGACTTAAAAATTTCGCAAAAACGACATAAAAATTTAAAAAGATGACATTTTAAATAACAAATAAATTTATTAATGAAACTCAATAAGACCGCAAAATTGTGTTAAGAAGGGTAGTGATTAGGTAAGATAAGACAGGAATTTCAGTTGTGGTTCATTTCCACCCTCTGCAGGCCAGTCGTAGAAACTAGGTATGTAAGGTACTGACACTCACCCCCCCCCCCCCAAAGAAATTTTATGCCTTTTAGTGGGCATTCGTTTGTGGATGACTTAAGCACGTTCCAAGAAAACGTTAACTATGCATTTAGCTCACAATAGAGGTTTTAGGCTTCATTTCTAAACAGGTAAAGATACCCGGAACCACCGAGAAAAGAAAATGCATAAAATTCAAAGTAAAAAAAGTAAAGTAATCACCCTACACTGCACCCTTACCAAAGGGGATGCATCATGATGGGGAATGAAGAAGCTGAACTGAAAGGAGATAATTTTTTTGTTTCAAATGTATATTACAAAGCGCTACAATCTCACAGTGATTCAAATATCCCCACTAGCAAGGGTTGAAAGTTGAATTATTATGCATCCCCTTTGGTAAGGGTGCAGGGTAGGGGATTTATACCACGATAAGTTCAAGATATGCTTTAATATGTAAAAAAGAACCACAATTGTTTATTGTTTCTAAAGCGATCGATTTCGGGTATAACCACCCATCATCAGGCTAGGCTAAAAGTATATCACATGAATTTGATGAACACAGAATTAAAATTATTACCGTCAATTAAATTATATAAATGCAGCGACATAGAGTTGAATAAAAAGTATTAAAATACATAAACGAAGACAATAATAATTACATATTAAAGCAAATCTCAACGAACCCCAAAATAATGGAGAATTACATTACAAAGTTCAAGATATTTTCACTCTTAATTATAGAAATTAAAGTAGAAAATTTGGTTAAAACATCTAGATCCAAATTTAAGAATTCTTAAAAACTCTGAAGCTCTATATCGTTTTTAATAAATATTTCACAAAAAAGTTGTGTAGAATTTTATAGTCTACAATTTCAATATTTTTATGTAAAGTAAACCTACAAAAAGATATGATTGAAAATATAAAAAACCAACCCAATTTCTGTGGTTTTAAGGGTGGTACGGGGGAAGCACAAGGTAGTTACATACGAATATTTATTTCAAAAGAGTGTAACTATTGTTGTATATCAAATTTTTTTGGTTTCTTTAACAGATTATCTTTAATTGACCTACAACCAACCCTTTAATTGCCACATAAAAATAAAATTCTTTCCCGCTTTGTGTTTTTAAGGAAATTCGATCTAACGTACACAGTAGAATTGAATTGCGGGAAATTAAATTTTGTTTGATGCAAATTTTGATTTTGGTAATTTAATTCCAATAAACTCTGTATACTGTCCAACTAGCGTATTCAGGTGATTTACACAATTGGACGATTAAACTTAATAATCTTCTGTACATTGGTCCATTAGTCACATTTTTATTAATTTTACAACGTTGCTAAACTAATTTATAGATTATTACAGTTGGTTTATCATTAAAAATAAAAAATATAGACAACACCGCTTTTGGATTGAAGGGATTTTATTTTCACCATATTGACGGTATAATAAAAAGAAAGTACAGGAACACAATCGATATTAAAAACAAATGGAAATTTTACGCGAATAGTTAACAGATCGGGGTCAAGTTGAAAGCTCCCCACACAATACGCGAGAATTAATGAGAAGACTTGAACTATTCCTCTTTTCAAAACCCTGGCCTATTTGCGAATAAGTCGACTAATTGGAAAACGGGGTGGGAAATAAGCTAGTCGGATTTTTCCAAACAGATTGCGTCAATATTTTAGACGTTATAAGTAATAAATAAGCTGCAGTGAAAAATCGAAAACGGATGCTACGTAATTTTGTATCGAAGGAACGATTAATCTTTTTGACGTGGATTTCATGATGCTAATTTTCTTTCATATTGCACTCGGTTTGCCAAATTATTTATGAACGAAACTAATAGCTAGTCTATTCATATCTGAAGTAGGCACTGAACGCAGCGAAATATCGAGACGGTCGGATGATCGATTGAGGAATTACCGTTTGTGGCTTGTGAGAATAAAAATTTCGCAAAACTCACAAATCTCTGTCGAATTGGTTTTAGCACAATCATCGCAAGGAATCAGTGCAGGAAACGCAACTAAAAGTGATTACATTAATCATCGAAAGGCGAGGCTGTACGAAAGGGAAACTGTTTGCCAACCGCACATTCTGCGTCAATTTTATCAAAAAGCGAAAATTTTAATTATGTAACTCATTTTGCGACATAATATATTAACGGAACGTGATTAACTGTGCAACAACATATTTAATATTATAAAGTAACTTCCATTTATTTAACACGGAAACTTTCCAAAGTATTTTCGTTAAAGCCGAAATTAATCTAACAGACAAAGTTTCTCGTGTTCATTAAAATGAAATGTAGGTTTTAACTCGTCCTAAATGTCCAATGCGTTAATCCTTTATTACTAGCACACATTTGGACAAATTAATTCTTTATTAGTGAAACCCTGGGTGGAACTGATAGAATGATGTTCATTGATTTCGTTTGATTGGTGTAGTACCTAATTTGTTTGCCAAAGCCACCCATTAAACTATCTGCGCGGATAAAAACCAAGTCAGAATTTTGGATAAGCTTTAATCAAAGTCACTTTTTTGTGGGGCGCAATTGTCTGAAATAGTCACGCCACAATTATGAAAAACATCACCACTATTACCCTGAGTAGTCACCGGAAGAAACCCCGGGTCGTGTCCGGGGTGACTTTGTGCCTATTTTTATAGAAAAGAATTCAAATTTTACAAAAAAAAACCAAAAGCAAGAAGTTTACGCAAATTAAAAAAGGTTATGTACTTACATATAAAGTTTTCCTAGTTCTGGTTGAAAATCTATTTTTTCAAGGTTTACAAATACAATACAAAATACACGTGAAATGTATACACCGATATAATGTTAACGCGTCTGTGGACAGGCGAATACTGACCGGAATTAGAAAGTATTTCTTTACAATGCAATTACGAAAGTGATACGGATAAGACGGGTCAATGTCGATTTTTCTTGTTCCTTTCACGGATGATCTAATTTAATAACGTTGCGAGATTTTCTGTTTTTAAGGTGTTGTAAATGCAAGTCGTATGACTAGCGGACCTTTTTTTTAGTCATAGTATGTTGTATACAGGGTGTTTTTTTGGGAGCTTTAGTTAAACGTTTCTGGGAAAGTAAAATAGGTAGGTTTTTGAAAATTTGTACTTAGAAGTTACGCTGAAGGCCGAATCGATGTAAAATATTTTCAAAATGGCCGCACTTCCGGAAACACCGGAAGTAGATAGTAACTTCGTTATTTTAAATAGCATCCCCAATTTTTTTATTGGGTTTTTGGATTCTACGTGAAATTTCAGTTCTTTGGATACCCATATGTCGATATCTGTCATTTATGGTTTTTAAGTTATTTTGACTTTAAGAAAAAAAATGGCGGATGCAGATGGTACTTTGATAATTGATTACTTGAAAACGGTTGTAGTCATGACAACCTATTTTTATCAGTGCATTTAGAATTAATACAGCTTTCTTTTAGTGTACTTAAAAAAAAGTTAAGCTGCGTAAGACCGCCCCTATGGAGATCCAAATTTATGAAACTTCAAAGATTAAAAACTCAGTTTTTTTAAATGGAATCAGCATTTTCTTAATATTGCATGAGATAAAGAATCGAAATGGGTATATTTTGACAATACATGTTCCTATAGCTATCTTTAACAGTTTCTGACTTATTCCCATTTTATTGAATTGACACTATTTTTTTCGAATTTTCTTTTTAGTAGTCGGCCATGATTTTATAACAATTGAATTTTAAACAATTCTAGTGACACTAATCCGTCATCTACTGTTATAGGTTAACATAAGTTTTTCAAAAATCGAAAAGTGACGCAGTGGTTTCACCTATTTTTGAATTTAATTGTTATTTATGGTGAAATGGACAGAATCGCGGCACGTGCTTGCCGTACATTCATTCGAACACTGGAACGAAATTGTATGAATTTTGGAAATTTGGTACCCCCAAATGCACTACAAACCGTTGAAGCACAAGTGATACAAAGCTCTACAAGAGAATATTTAAGAAAATGAATTGAATTGCAAATGCAAGATTAACAAAATAAATTCAATGTAAAATATAAAAAACTTCGTTGAAACATTTTTTGTATGGAATTGTTGCTAGAACAGATATCGCATTACCTCTCTGAATTTTTAGACTTATACGTTGTTTAACAAATTCAGTTGAACGACTCAGTCTAGATTTCTCAAAATTTCCGTCCTATATCCTTAATAAATGACTTATTTATTAATGAATTATTTAGACTAGAATCAATGATATTAAAAATCCTTTTCTTGATTTGTTTAAAATTCGATTGTTATAAAATCATGGCCAACTACTAAAATGAAAATGCAAAAAAAATGGCATCAATTCAATGAAATGGGAATAAATCAGAAAATGTTAAAGATAGCTATAGGAACATGTAATATCAAAATATTCCAATTTCGATTCTCTATCTCATGCAATAGGAAGAACATGGTCATTCCATTTAAAAAAAACTGAGTTTTTGGACTTTGAAGTTTCTTAAATTTGGATCTCCATAGGTGCGATTATACGCAACTTAATTTTTTTTAAGTACACTAAAAGAAAGCCCCATTCATTCTCTATGCAATGATAAAAATGGGTTGTCATGACTATAACCATTTTCAAGTAATCAATTATCAAGGTACCATCTGCATCCGCCATTTTTTTTCATAAAGTCAAAATAACTTAAAAACCATAAATGGCAGATATGGACATGTGGGTATCAAAAGAACTGAAATTTTACGTAGAATCCAAAAATGCAATAAAAAATAGGGGTTGCCTTTAATATAACGAAGTTACTATCTACTTCCGGTGTTTCCGGAAGGGTGGCCATTTTGAAAATATTTTACATCGATTCGGTCTTCAGAGTAACTCCTAAGTATAAATTTTCAAAAACCTACCTATTTTACTTTCCCAGAAACGTTTAACTAAAGCTCCCAAAAAAACACCCTGTACAGTGTGACCCCCCTAAATATATGATCCACGCAAAAACAAAAACACGTCAACTTTATTTCGAAGGGGGACATTTTATAGGCTGGTCATACATGAAATTGGATCAACCCTCTAATGGGGGTAGAAGCAACTCCTAAAAATTAAACAGGGGAGAAGGACCTCTCATTTGAAAGGTCATTCAATTGTCTTTTCAAAAATATTACACACTTGTTGTTTCTTTTCAGTACTTTAAGAAAAATCGACCAAAATGTTATAAGAATCTTACCCTCGCAAATTATTTTCAAAAATGGTTTTTTTCTTTAACAAAGAAACGAAATTATTTTCATTTATGGTGAATGTGGAAGGTGCGCTAGAAGAACGGTAGCCATGTTTAATGAGAGATATCCCAATAATAATTTAAATCATAAATATGTCTTAAAATAGGTTTCTAAGTAAGTAACTGATTCTCTTGCTAATACCCCCATTAGAGGGTTGGTCCAATTTTATGCCTCTAAAATGTTCCCCTTCAAAATTAAGTGGACGTGTTTTTGTTTTTCCGTTGATCTTTTATTGCAGCTCATATATTTGGGTTGGTACCTTTTTAAATTGACACACTGTATATTAGTCATAGAGTATTTCCTTAGTAATAGTGAGTTCGTATTAGATATAGTGGTTTATCTATATAAGCTTCACTGAAATAAATACTTTTCCGTTGCTCATGTTGTGCATCTCCCCGACCTCATCTGATCACCTGGTGCTCCAACCTGGTAACATGGGTGTTAAGCGCAATTGAATGGACGAACGAGGTGGAACCGTAATTGGCGTACCGGCTGAGGTACCTGTGTTGGTTCCGATGTATGACTGCTATGCGTTATCCGGTTTATTATCCAGGCGGTTGCTCACTCCTGGCCTACCATCCCCTTGTCGTGGGAGTCCGTATCCTATCAGGGCATGACTGTGGTACGTGTTGCTGCGTTTATTCGTGTCCTCAGGTTGAACAGGATGATGGGGAGGTATTTATCCCAGGTTTTTGGGTCCTTTCCATCCACGTGTATGCGAAGACCTTTTTGAGCTCCACCACAAGTATGAATTTGTTCTCGAAGTTGGATTCCACGTACAGTCCCATGAGGTCTAAGGAAATTACTTCCCATAGACGGCTGGGTTTCCTGGACCGTAATGTTGCGTCTTGTACTGGCCCGCGATTTGTTGCGGCGCAGATCCAAGATCCTTTCACGTAATTTCTGACTGCCTCGCCCAGTTTGGGCCAAAAATAATGAAGGGAAATAGCTCGAGCGGTCTCTTGGGAATTATGGCGCCACCGTCGCATTTTAGTTCATCTAGATATCACCATGGAATTTATGCCGCCACCGTCGCTTTTAGTTCATCAAGATTTCCCCAGGGAATTTAAAGCGCCACCCTCGCATTTTAGTTCATCGGGATTTCACCAGAGGATTTATGGCGCCACCGTCGAGTTTTAGTTCATCGAGATTTCCCCAGGGGATTTATGGCGCCACCGTCGCTTTTTAGTTCATCTAGATTTCACCAGGGAATTTATGGCGCCACCGGCACGTTTTAGTTCATCGATATTTCACCAGGGGCTTAAATGGCGCCACCGTCGCTTTTTAGTTAATCGAGATTTCACCAGGGGCTTAAATGGCGCCACCGTCGCTTTTTAGTTCAACGAGGTTTCACCAGGGAATTTATGGCGCCACCGTCGCATTTTAGTTCTTCGAGATTTCACCAGGGAATTTATGGTGCTACCGTCGCTTTTTAGTTCATCGAGATTTCACCAGTGGCTTAAATGGCGCCACCGTCGCTTTTTAGTTAATCGAGATTTCACCAGGGGCTTAAATGGCGCCACCGTCGCTTTTTAGTTCAACGAGGTTTCACCAGGGAATTTATGGCGCCACCGTCGCATTTTAGTTCTTCGAGATTTCACCAGGGAATTTATGCTGCTACCGTCGCTTTTTAGTTTATCGAGATTTCCCCAGGAGATTTATGGACTGGATTTCTATATTCGGAAGCCACTTCGACCAAGGGCGTCAGTTTCAGTCCGATCCCCTTCAACAACTTAATTGTCTTAGCGGCACCAAGTATATTCATACGACACCGTACCACCCGCATGATAGTACGCTTTCATCGTACCCTCAAAACCGCATCAAAATGTGATTCTGGAATTCCTTGGCCAGACACTACCAATCTTTCTACTTGCTTTACGTACATCTCTCAAGGAGGATCTCCACTCCAAGCTTCACCCGCAGAAATGTCTTTTGGCTACGCATTTCCGGTGAATTTATTGTTTCTCAGGACGTTTCATCATCCCACCCCAACGTTTTCAAGAGCATTCACATAGCGCGACATACCTCCCATTACCCATTTGTATTAAAAAATCCTGCTACCTGCTAATACGTTTTCCGCCGCATCGATGAAGGAAACCTTTGGTGCTTAACCTTCCTCCGGTTCACTTCACATCGAGTCGTCGAAAGGACTGATGACCGTACCCTCGTTCTAGATGTTAAAGGATCCGAAAAAACCTTTTCAACGGACCTTTTAAAACCGGCCTAGGGAAACGTCCCAGCCTGGCACAATCATCGCGATAAAATATTAATTTAATTCCTTTCATGGGATGAGACTGAACTCTAAAGATTCCTTGTTGCATTAGGAATGCAATGATGTAAGGCAAAGTACTTGTCGTTTAATTAACTTTCGAGATATCTTGAGTTATCTACGTCAAAATGGCTGGCAGTTTTTTGTAACGTCAATTTTTGTAAAACGTTTCCAAGTTGCGGATATTTACCTGCGTATGTACAGCCGAACGGGTATTAATTTTCTTAATAGCAGCTAATCAGGGGTAGATCCCTTAAAAAATGTAACGTTAAATTACAATGAAATACAGCAGC